TTTTTTTTTTTTTTTTTGGCGGTCCGCGGGCCTCTCACTGTCGTGGCCTCTCCTGTTGTGGAGCACAGGCTCTGGACGCGCGGGCCCAGCGGCCATGGCTCACGGGCCCAGCCGCTCCGCGGCACGTGGGATCTTCCCAGACCGGGACACGAACCTGTGTCCCCTGCATTGGCAGGCGGACCCTCAGCCACTGCGCCACCAGGGAAGCCCTGTGTGATTCTTAAGCCTATTATCATTTGAGATCTACTGCCTTAGATATTTATAATTAAGTTAAAAGATGTTGGAAAATTATTTTAAAAACCAATTTTAATTAATTTCAAAATAATGATATAAGCTGTAACTCTTTTGCACAGAGATTGAAGAAGAGATGTCGTAAAATCAAACCACAGAGGGTTTGGGCACCACTGCTTCAGATGAGCTCTCTATATATAGACTACTAGAGATATCTAACACTGCTTTTGGAAAAAGTCAAGGGTAGCTTGATTTCCTTTTTCCATTAAACTTCATGCTTTCTAGAGGCTTGAGAAACTGAAAAACATCCCATACCCTGAATTTTTATAATTCTTTCATAAAATGATGTGTGTGTGTGTGTGTGTGTGTGTGTGTGTGTGTGTGTTTTAAATGCACATTGGGTTGGAGACATCAGTACCCCTGTCTGTTCCTTTTCCAAAAGGAATTGAAGGAACTCATTTCCACATGAGCGAGTTCTGGAGTTTTCTACTTACTGATATCAGAAAGCCCAACAGCAGTCAGAAACCACTCTTCTCAGCACAGCAGTTCCTCAGGAGGAGACTAGGTCCTGGGTCTTCTATCCTTAGGAACCAGGTATTATAACAAAGCCTCTTCAATGTTTAACTGAAGTTTGATTTTACTCTGACTCAGTGATCAATTCTCCCTTCTAGTTCTTTGTTAGAGTTTACCTTCACCTGAAGAAGGACTTGTAAGATAATGGGACCACTGCTACTCTGTAACCTCATGGAACATTGTAATTTGCTAGAATTGTAGAGAGTCAAAAGTCAGAAGGAAAAGCCTTTAAGGAGTCATTTGAGTTCCATAGTGAGTTTACATTATATTATATCATCATTAGAGTGCAGTAATATAGTTAGGCAAGAATGTGTGGTCATGGTTGGCTGAGGGGAAAATGTTTAAAATATGTTAAAAATACTGCTATAGCCAAAAGGAGCAGGTTTTCATTTTCAGTTAAGAAATTAGGCCATTCTGAGCCACAGTGAACAAAGGCATCATAAGAAGGTTTTAGAGAAAACGCCCATCACTACACTGTCAGGACCAAGGACACAGAGGAGGTCTCTGTTATTTGAGAGGAGGGGCACGCCATGGGCTATCTGGAACAGTCTCAGGAAGGGGCATAAATACAAGTTGGATATAAGTAATAAAATATTGTTCCTATTTAGTTTGCTGAGTGTCTAACTTGGTTGTGGTTTGAAGTTGTTTGTGTCTGTAGGGCAGCAACATGTCTTTTCAATTAATACTGTGCATGTACATTGTTAATGTCATACACATGGGAACTTAATTAGAGTTTTGAGGCAGGAATCACTTAGAGCTAACTCAGCTGTCCTCCTGAGAGCTGCAGTGTGGTTTAGATCAGTGCTAAATGCCTGTAAGCTAGCCGCAACTGAATCACCCAGGAACTTTAAAAGCAAATTCCCAGGCCCAGCCCCAAGGAATTCTGACTCATTGAGCAAGGGGGAGTCCATTCCAGGAATCTGTATTTTTTGTAAAGTTTTCCAGGTGAGTCTGGTCATATCCAGGCTTGGGAGATTACAGTTTTTAAGACCATCAAAGGCTCAACAACAGTATAGGGGGCAACATCTTTGAAGTTGGTTACTCACATATTGTGAGTTATATGTGCTGGGGCACAGCGTAAGTTTCATTTAATTTAGTAATAGTTTACTCCCTAACACACTGCTATGTTTATAGACAGACTTCTTCTGCTATAATGAATTAGGATGCTAAACATGATGTTGCTTTTTTATACATCTTAGGTACAGAGTTAATAATACTACATAATTGCTAGACCATGATCATTGTTGGTTGAGCAAGGCTCCTATGTTTTATTGTAGCCCGTTCCATTCTTTCATTGTGTTGTTGTGCTGTGTTATGGTAATGCTGTATTTTGATGCATTATTCCCGCTTTTCCCCATCCTCACTCCAAATTCCTTTCTCCATAGGCATAATATTACTATACCTTTTTAAATACGCATATGTTCTTGTAAAATATATCATATTGTTGCATGTGGATACATTTTACAATTTATTTAAATGATGTTGTGCTGAACCTCATTCTGTTTCTTTCCTCACTTAACACTTTTTCAAGATACCTGTACAGCTTTAAGTACATCTACTTCATTGCTTCTAAAATGCTACATAGTGGGCTTCCCTGGTGGCGCAGTGGTTGAGAGTCCGCCTGCTGATGCAGGGGACACAGGTTCGTGCCCCGGTCTGGGAAGATCCCACATGCCGCGGAGCGGCTGGGCTCATGACCCGTGGCCGCTGAGCCTGCGCGTCGGGAGCCTGTGCTCCGCAACGGGAGAGGCCACAACAGTGAGAGGCCCGCGTACCGCAAAAAAAATAAATAAATAAATAAATAAATAAATAAATAAATAAAATGCTACATAGTGTTCCAATGATTTCATCGACCGCATATTGCTCATCCATTTTCTCCTATATGGACCTTTAGGTTGCTTCTAGTTCCCCAATATTACAAATAATGCTAGTATGAATATACTTGAGTATGTCTCTTTACAGACTACACAAGAATTTCTTTCCATTATTTACTCAGGAATGTAATCCTGGGGTCATAGGGTATAAACACCTTAATTTTGCTACCATCCAGGATAGCGATACCACTTTACACCTCCACCTACAGTTCACAAAGAGTTTCTATCATCCTACATTCTCAGCAACACTTGGTATATACATCTTTCTAACAGTTGCCATTCTAAAGTGTGTGCAAAGTGTTATCTCATTTTGTATTAATTTGCATTTCTATGATGACAAGTTTGAGCATTTCCACATAGATTTGTCAGCTATTTCAGCTTTGCCTTTGTATATTGCCTATTCCATGGATTTGAAAATAAAGATGCTTCATTAGTCCATTGAATGATACAAGCTTCTATTTCACTACTCTAAGAAATGATGGACAGCTTAAAGTTTACTTATTGTTGCTGCTGCTGTTGTTTTAAATGCTAGACAACTTTAAAATATATGAGTCCCCAATTCATTAATGTTGTACAACCTATTCAAGAATACACCATTCACATGTAATCTATTTTGAGTATGTGTGTTTTTGCGAAATCCTCTACAAAGCCTTTTTCTCATATTTCTAGACTCCTGCTTCCTCAAGGCCAATGATTTGACTCACAGTCTTTCATCATATCTAAAAGAAAGTAAGTAAACTCATTTTTTAAAAAATTATTCATCAAGTTTTATTATTTCCATTAAAACATTAGACCTATCTCTTTAAAATAAAAACTTTTAAAACTTCATTTAAAATCAAGTTTCCATCTTAAATGGATTTTAAATGAAGGTTTTTTAGGTCCCTCTTGATATTAATTTTTATTTATTTAAATTTATTCTTGTTTTTCTCTGGTATTGGGTGGGGATTTGGGTTTTGGTCTTGTTTTTGTTTTACAACACATTAGAAGTATTGCTCCTGGAATCCAGAGAATTCTCAGTGTTCTAGTTGCAGGTACCCCATCAATTTGGTATTTGACTTGGCACAAGTCACTGAGGACTCCTCCAGGACTCTATTTTGTTATCTGAAAGACAAGGAAGTTGGACTATGTGATCTTGAACCCATCTCTGAGGTTCTGAAATTCTGTTCCCACGTTCAGAATTCAGACCATGGCTATTGCACAGACAATCTAGTTTGATCTTTTCGATTGAATGTAGGCAGTAATAACGAGATTATTCATGCTAGGTAGTCATTTATTGTGACCAACAATGAAATAGTTTAGACATGGTGATTTAACATTCTTTTTTCAAATTCTAACCAATTCTGATGACACTCAGCTTGAGTTCATAAACCTTTCTTAGCCTCAAATTCAGCAAATGTAAATGTAGGTAATAATGGAATCAATCTCCATGGATTATGAGAACTAAAAACGTTATGTAAAGTGCATAGCACAGTGTCAGTGTTTAATAAATGTTTGCTATCTTAATATCATTTCCATTTTATGTCTTATGCTGAGTGTCCCTTTAAAATGTAGCATTATTTACTTATTTATTTTTGGCTGTGTTGGGTCTTTGTTGCTGCGCTCAGGCTTTCTCTAGCTGCGGCAAGCGGGGGCTACTCTTCGTTGCGGTGCGCGGGCTTCTCATTGTGATGGCTTCTCTTTGTTGCAGAGCACGGGCTCTAGGCGCGTGGGCTTCCATAGTTGTGGCATGTGAGCTCAGTAGTTGTGGCTCGCAGGCTCTAGAGAGCAGGCTCTGTAGTTGTGGCGCACAGGCATGTGGGATCTTCCCGGATCAGGGCTCGAACCTGTGTCCACTGCATTGGCAGGCGGATTCTTAACCACTGTACCACCAGGGAAGTCCCTAAAATGTAGCATTTTTATTTTATTTAGTTATTTATTTTTTGCGGTACACAGGCCGCTCACTGTTGTGGCCTCTCCCGTTGCGGAGCACAGGCTCCGGACGCGCAGGCTCAGCGGCCATGGCTCATGGGACCAGCCTCTCCGTGGCATGTGGGATCTTCCCGGATCGGGGCACGAGCCCGTGTCCCCTGCATCGGCAGGCGGATTCTCAACCACTGCACCACCAGGGAAGCCCCCAAATGTAGCATTTTTAAATCAGTTCTTTTCCCGTTTAGTCAACACTGCCTTTAAGCAACAAACATAAATTAAAATATAGAAAATGTTGTATTATTACAAACTTTTTCAATTTTCCTTTTCTTTTTTTTTTTGTACAAACTTAGTCCTATAACTGGTCACATTTAGCTACTTGGCATATTATATGTTTTGTGGTGTTAAGTTAATGATATTTCATTTTAGTTTAATATCTAGAATAACCAGAGAATAGAATCTAAACAGTGCTCATATTTTATTTTACTTAAGCGATAACAAAGAAGTAATTGGGGGATATTCAACTTTGGAGGCCTTGTTTTGCTATATTTAGGGTAATATTTTTCTCATGGTCTCTTTTCAGTCTGCCCTAAGTGGGTGAAACTTCGGAAGAACCACAGTGAGAAGAAATCGGTCCTGATGCTGATTATCTGTGGCTCTGCCATCCGAGCCCTGGAGCTCATTAGGTTGGAAGCTTCACCTGTTCCATTTCGTAACTGTTTTCTGAGTAACTAACTGATATGTGCGGAGCTGACAAGTTCTATATGCTGGAGACCAGCAATGAATAAAATATACAGAGTCCCCTCTCTCATGGAACCTACTTTCCAGTAAGGGAGGCAGACAATAAACAAATAAATATGGATTATAATGTCAAGTAGTGATAAGTTATGTAGGAAAAAAAAATAAAGCATGGCAAATGGATAGAAAAAGATGGGGGCTACTTTTAAAAGGGTACTCACAGAAAGCCTCTTAGGAGATTGACCTATGAGCAGAGACTTGAACAAAGTGAATGAGAACTCCAAGCAGATATCTGGAAGAAAAGTGTTCCAGGCAGAGGGGACATAGGTACAAAAGGCCCTGATATGGAGTACCATTGGAGGATTTTGAGCAGAGAAGTCACATGATCTGAATAATCATTCTAAAGGATCACTTTGGCTGCTGTGTGGAGAACACGCAAGGGTAAAGCAGGGAGATCATACAAGCAATAACCAGTTGGAGAAATAAATGAAAGAAAAGATCTAATTTTAAATAGTAACAAGAAAAAATAGAACACCAAGCAAAAAACTAGCCAAAATTTAGATGAAGAAAATATTGCATAAGGGATGCAGCAGATCTTAAACAGAAAGGAGTACCATATTGTTGAATAGGAAGATTCAATGTAAAGATGTCTGTTTTACCTAGAATAATCTACAAATTTCACAGATTCCCAATGAAACTCCTATAGAATTGTTTTTTAAACTAGATAAACTAGTTCTACGTTCATATGAGAAAATACAGAAGACAAAATAGCTGGAGAAATTCTAAAAAAGAATGCTAGTGAGGATAGTATGCCTATAGTATCTATCAGATTTTTTTAAAAAAAAAACATATTACAAAGTCTCGATAATTAAGAGTATGGAACTGGCACACGTGTGACAGCAGAACAGTGGAACAGAAGTGAAAGTTCAGAAATAGACCCATATGCATATGAAAGTACAGGATTTGGCAAAAGTGAAAAATCAGTAGGGAAAGATGGATTATTTAATAATTGGAATTGGAACAACTGGGTAGCCATGTGAAAAATCAGTAGGGAAAGATGGATTATTTAATAATTGGAATTGGAACAACTGGGTAGCCATCTAAAAAAATTAAGCTGGGTTCCATATCTCACTCCTTATACCGAGATAAATGCCAAGTGGACCAAAAATTTATATGTAAAAATTATGTTTTAAAGACAATTTGTCGGTGCTTTACTAAGTGCCTTCACATACCTTTTCATTTACTGTAGCTTTTGTAGAATAAACAAAAAGGCTTCCACTGGATCTGTAGTAGCGTTCAGCTTTCAGAGAAGAGCTGTCAGAGTAAAATGGGATTTCCTGGGACTCACCCTCTCCCAAGGCCAGGCTCTGCACCGGGCTTTGACCAGAGACAAAACAGGAAAATCCAAGTCCTAAAGAAAAAGGAACTTGATCAAATAGATTAATGTGCAAAGTAGACTCTCGGTAGTTATTTAGCATCTATTTTTCTAAATGAGCTAATCTGACCATGAATTTAGAAAAGTAGTTTTTTAAGCTTTGTTAATCGTCCTTCAGAACCTTTCTGCTAGGCACACACATTAAATTGTATCACACACCCTTTCAGTAAAACGAAAGTGTTTCTTTTAACTATTTCTGCTCCAAACATAATTGATCTTCAAGACTCCAACTGCTTCTGGGCAGCCGTACTTGCTGGTTCTGAAATCATAAGAATTCACATTGACATTTCAGTGTTTTAAAGACTACCCACAGAACTCATTTCAGATTCAAACACTAATGGCAAAGAAGTTGGCCTGGAGGTGGCCTCTTAAAAACAAGTTGTCACATTGATTTGAGTTTTTACCGTACATAAATGCCTTTCTGATGGGCATAGAAGGACTGTGTTGTCATACTTCATTTGCCAATTCTCAGTGTTTCTTTATGTCTTCAGTAATATTATGATCCATTTCAAGGTTAGGTGATTTGCAGAAGGTGATTTCTGAGCAGGCATAACAAGCCCTATTCATAAAGGCTAATATTGAATAATTCTAACGTTTGTAAGAATATCTGTTCTCTTGAGAACCATGAGTTATGTTAAATATGTCCCCTAAATTGTCTTCTTAGTTAACCTCGCCATGGAGAAAGATCATGTGTAAGTACAGACTCGAGTGCAACAGAACGTGTGTAGCACGAGTCACTATTTTGTAAATTCATTTATTCCTACTGGTCGGTAATATTTCTCAAGTATATTAATGATATATAAAGGAAAGTAATATTTCGAGCAGTATTCCCATATTCTATTCCCAAACATCAACTAGAAGATTGTTCTTTTATACCCATTTTATGCCCATTTATACCCGAAGCATTTCCACATATAAGATTTTACAGATAAGCTCACTCTGCAAAGTCCATAAAAGTAGGGGTGCTGCTCTGAATGAAGGACGTAAGCCCTCCTGCTTCTCCCCGCTAGCTTATCCCTGTCCCCACAGGGCAGCCACACACAGACCTTCGTACATGCCCTTGGGCTCTGTAGAGCACAGGCTGACATCACTGCTAAGATATTTCTCACAAACAAAAATTTTAAGAGAACTATACTGCAGAGTTTGAAGATAAATTCTCTGCCAGGGACCTAAAATACAGAACTTTTGTATTACAGATGTTAAAAAACAAAATTCAACCAAGTAAATTTGAATATCACATTGGCTTAACTCAATGATTCATGAATCAGGCAGCACCCAGCCAGCAACTAGAAGGGCACTCCGAGGGGTTGTGCAAAATGAAAGTTTTTAATAGGAGAAAGGGTGGAGGGACTTCCCTGGCAGTCCAGTGGTTAAGACTCTGCGCTCCCAATGCAGGGGGCACGGGTTCAATCCCTGGTCAGGAACTAAGATCCCACATGTTGCACAGTGCAGCCAGAAAAAAAAGGAAAAGGGGTGGAGCAATGGAGCCATTAACAAAAGAAAAGAAAGACTACTTTTTAGGCCAGGACATCTTCTTTTGTGGGGGAAGGAAATGGCAAGGGTTTTATGTTCCTCTCTGGTATAGAAAGGGCCCACAGGACAGATTACCTTACTGGTGCTTGACCAGAGATTCCAGACTGGTTGATTAAGATTATGTTTCTCAGAAAAGTTGAAACTGCAATTAGATGAAGTATTAAATCTAGGTTTCGGTATCATGGGCTTTTAGCATGAGTGACACCATTTTGGGACTGTGGTTTTCATTTTAACACAAGTGAAGGGCAAATCCACATGTTTCAATAATCAAGGAAACCTAAGTAAAGTTAACCGTGTGCCTGCGACTTAGAAGCCAACCCAGATGCATGCCTGATTAAAGGCCACCCCACTTTCATTCCAGAGATGGACTAACATGAAAATCAGAATTGTGTGTGTGTGTATCTATCCACATACATATGTACATATAGACACACATAAATGTGCTTATTATTTTGAATAAATATGGTGTAATACGTAAGTTGTAATAAGTGGTCCACGTGGCTCTGAATGAGTGATTTTTCTTCTGCGTAAATCTATTGCTTTTCATCAGGTCAATGACCGCATTCAGAGGAGACAGCAAAGTCATGAAATTATTCGCAAAACACATAAAGGTAAGCAAGGGCCTGTGGTTCCTAGTCGGGGGTGGAAGTGATCCTTAAGGGCCACTTCCGGACCTCAGTTGTTTCACTTCAGCCTCTTTTCCATATCTCCTTAGGAAGCATGTTCTTTGGTGCCTTCCTTTTGTAACATATTGAACGACCGTTCCGATTTTCTTTGCGTTCCCTTGCCTCTGCTCCCACAAGAGTCACTACTCCTCTGTGCTCTGAGGTTTCCGTACAGAAGCTGAGGTTTGAGCCCTGGACTTTTTGGAGACTTAACCAGTTTTCCAGGGAGATGCTCTTCTGTCTTGATGTTAACCTTCTTTGCCCTGGAAGTTGACCCTAAACAAGAGTAGCCCCTTTTGCTTTTTTACTTTCTTAGCTTTTAGATTAAATGCTCTAAATTGGACTATGATTGAACTTTCCAATGACTCTTCTTTTCTTTGTTCTCTTCCATTTTGGAATAGGTCCAGGAGCAGGTAAAATTGCTGGAGAAGCGTGTGGTACACCTGGGTGTAGGAACTCCAGGGAGGATTAAAGAACTCATTAAACAAGGTATGAAAAGAGGTAGTGATACTCCTACTCAGAGCTGAGTGTTTGCCTAACCCCCATGTGAGTTTGGGAAACCACATGTGTGATGTAGTGAAATCAGACCTCTGTGTTAATTCAGGAGTTGGAAACTTAGCCTTTAGTCCCTAAAGCCAGCCAGCAGGTATAGTACAATAGGGAATGATAAGGACTGTGGCAAACTGTGGTACTTATGCCTATCTAAATACATTCAAATTCCAGTTGCTTTAAGCAGTTTAGTGGGTCCACAATCTATTCCACCGATTTGCAGCCTCTGGAATCTGTATAGCTGAATGTGTTGAATGTTTCCCTCTCACTTAATCGAGTCTCGGCTCCCCAAGTCTCCCATTCCAATTCAGGGCTGGTATAGAAGATATGTTGAAACAAAAATGCAGTTTCTATGGATGAAATACAAGCACTCTAGAACACTTCTCGCAAATGTGTTTCTCTTTTAGTGCTTTACCCAGAAAGTATTCCAGACATCATCCACCGGTGGGTTTTCTTTTGGGTTTTTTTTTTGTGGTACGCGGGCCTCTCACTGTTGTGGCCTCTCCCGTTGCGGAGCACAGGCTCCGGACGCGCAGGCTCAGAGGCCATGGCTCACGGGCCCAGCCGCTCCGTGGCATGTGAGATCATCCCGGACCGGGGCACGAACCCGTGTGCCCTGCATCAGCAGGCGGACTCTCAACCACTGCGCCATCAGGGAAGCCCCACCAGTGGGTTTTTATAGTTTGTTGACCTTCTCAAAGCCAGTAGCCTAAAAACCTGCTGACCTGCTGATGATCTTAGTACATGTTCTACCTTACCTGCCAGACGGATTAAAGATTTCTTTTAAATACTCATTTCCAAATTACTTGTTTAGCAACTTTATTTTATAACTGCCTGGAGCTATTCCTGGATTTTTACGTATCTAAAAGTAATGTGTTCATCAATAGCATCTCAGTATAGAGATGGTCATTTGCAAGGAAGCAAACAAGAGCTAAAAATACTAGTGTTTCTCTCCAGATGAAAACCTTGGGTAAGTGAAAACACTATATGCAGAGGTCTGTGCAATTACAAGGAAGTAGCAGACTTGGTGGCCCCAGGCAAGGAAGGGAAACAAATATTTTTTGAGTTCCTACTTGTACTCAGTGCTGTGCTAGACACCCTCACATATCTCATTTAGTACTCATAGCATCCTTGCAGGCTAGCATTCTTATTTCTTATGAGAGAAAACTGAAGCTTGGAGGGTCACGTAGCCCCTCCCAAGATCTCTCATTCTAGGCCTTCCTGGTTCCAGAACCTTTCCCCGTCCAGGAGCTCCTGATCCAATTGAAGAGATAAATGTGCATAGGATGAGACTGACGACATGAGGCAGTAAATGCCAAGGTCCAAACAAGCACTTCTAAGTCCTACAGGAGTTGAAATGAGGGAGAGATTGTTATGGTGGCTGAATCTGCAAGGAAGGCTTTACAGAGGAAAGGATCTTTAACTGATCTTTGAAGTATGGGTAGGATTAGAATAGGATCTTTTTAATATACTTTAAAGTATGGAGATGTGAGAAAAGCATTCAGGAATGGGACAACAGCTGAATCAAAAGCAGGCAGGCAGATACATGGGGTATACCCAAAGGAGACGATAAGTAGTCAGTATGTGTTGAGGTTAAGAGCCCCTATTACAGACTCAAATCTATGGATGCAAATCCCAGGTCCAGCAGCTTACCAGCTCTGTGACTTGGCAAGTTTCTTAACCTTTCTAAAACTTTCTTTATCTGAATGACATAGATAGTAATAGCACCTACCTCAAAGGATTGTTATGCCAATAAAAAGCTAAACACAGTGAGTGTTACATCTTAAGAACTCAACAAATACTAGTTGTTACTTTTATTAAAGAGACCACCTTTCTTGGTTGGAGACTTCGTGGGCTGTGGTAGCCTGTGCTTCAGTTGGAAAGAAAGTCAGATTTTGGAGAAAGGCCCTTGCACAGTGATTGGCTGGATTTTTGTCTTGTGGCCCTAAGGAGGGTGTTGGAAATGAAGGCGCAGGTGAGAGGTGCTCATAGTCCATCCGTGAGACGCGGAGGTGGGAGAGATTGGCTGGGCAGCTGGGAGGCCAGGGATGCGCCCTCCCTCTCCCACAGCTCTTAGCCAAAGACTCACCTCTCCCCTTCCTGGATTCCACATGTTTTGTATGTGTCGCCAGGTCCCCCAGGCAACAGGGCCACTCTTCTCCATATTTAATATTTAAAAGAGAGAGGGAGAGAGAAAACGAAGTTGTCCAGATTGTTGAAATTATATTTCTACAGAGTTGTGAAAACTCACTGTGAAAGCTTATTTCATCTAAGGAGTGGAAAAATCATTTAAGGAGCTGTTGATTTATTTATAATACTAATGGAAATAACTCTTCTGATTCTGATTGGATGAATGGTTTAATATTCATTGACTACAGATGTTAGGCTACATACAAAGTGTTTAAAGAGAACAATTCCAGCACTCCAAAAACTGAAAGTCTAACAAAGCAAGACAAATGGCACATAACTCATTTTATGTAGCTGTTTATGACTTAAGATGTTTATATATATGATATATTAAGGAGAGTTTCCAAACATCAAAAGATATTCCATAACATTGGGATCAGTACACTTAGAGACAGAATTGTATTGTTTTATTTAATAAGGAAAGGGATTTTCTAATTATAAGAGCCTTTGTAAAATGCAAAAAGGTACAGAAAAGAAAATAGGTCACTTTAGAGGTAATGTCTTGTTAGTTAATATTAAATATATTTCCTTTCAGTCTTTTTTCTATGCATTTATCTATATTTTTTATAAATGGAGATCATACTGCATATCATAACTTTATAATCTGTCTTCTCTACTTAATATATCCCATGAGAACTTTGCTTGTCATGAAATAGTTTTAATTTTTCATTTTTAATGGCTGCATGATATTCTATTGAGTTTTTTTTCCAGTTTTTTTGAGATATAATTGACATATAACATTGTATTGGCCAAGGTGTACAACATGATTTGGTATATGTGATGTGTAAAGTGATTACTACAGTACGTTTGGTTAACATCAGTCACTTCATATCATTACAATTTTTTTTCTTGTCATGAGAACTTTTAGGATCTACTCTCTTAGCAACTTTCACATATACAGTACAGCATTGTTAACTATACTCACCATGCTGTACTTTACATCCCCAGCACTTATTTATCTTGTAACTGGAAGTTTTTACCTTTTGACCACCTTCATCTATTTCTCCCACCTCTTACCTCTGGCACCCAGCACCAATCTGTTCTCTGTACCTATGAGTTCATTTTTGTTTTTTGGTTTTTTTTTAGATTCCACATATATGTAAGATCATACAGTATTTGTCTTTCTCTATCTGACTTATTTCACTTAGTATAATGCTGTCAAGGTCCCTCCACGTTGTCACAAGTGGCAGTATTTTCTTCTTTTTTATGGCTGAATAATATTGCTGTGTTTGTGTGTGTATGTGTGTGTGACATATTCTTTATATATTCATTTGTCAATGGACACTTAGGTTGTTTCCAAATCTTGGCTTTTGGAATTAATGTAGCAGTGAACATGGGAGGTACAGATATCTTTTCAAGACAGTGATTTCATTTCCTTTGGATATATACCCAGAAGTGGAGTTGCTGGATCATAGGGTAGTTCTATTTTTAATTTTTAGAGAAACCTCTATACTGTTTTCCATAATGACTGCACAAATTTACAATCCCACCAGCAGTACACAAGTTCCTTTTTCTCCATAACCTTGCCTGTACTTGTTATCTCTTGTCTTTTTGATAACAGTCATTCTAACAGGTATGAGATGATAGCTCATTGTGGTTTTGATTTGTGTTTCCCTGATGATTAGTGATGTTGAGCTCCTTTTCCTGTACTTATTGGCCATTTGGATGTCTCCTTTGGAAAAACTGTATATTCAGTTCCTCCACCCATTTTTAAATCAAATCATTTGGGGGTTTTTTGTTTGTTTGTTTTTGTTTTTGTTTTTTTTGCCGTACGCGGGCCTCTTACTGCTGTGGCCTCTCCCATTGCGGAGCACAGGCTCCAGACGTGCAGGCTCAGCGGCCATGGCTCACGGGCCCAGCCGCTCCGCAGCATGTGGGATCTTCCCGGACCAGGGCACGAACCCGCGTCCCCTGCATCGGCAGGCAGACTCTCAACCACTGCGCCACCAGGGAAGCCCCAAATCATTTGGTTTTTTGCCCTTGAGTTGTATGAGTTCTTTATATATTTTGGATATCGACCCCAAGTTATATTGGTGTTTAGCAATTCTATTATGGTAGGATATTTGGGTTGTTTCTAATTCGTTTTGCTATTATAAGTAATACACAGTGATCATCTTTATAAGTAACTATGCTTAAGTTTCTGGTGTTTTATTGTGATATGTCAGAGAAGGAGAATTATTTTATCAAACAGTAAGCATTTTAAAGCTCCTATTATATAATGTCCAGTTGCCTTCCAGAGAGGCTGTACCTGTTTGCTGTCCCATCAGCAGTCAATTTTTTGTTTTGTTTTGTTTTTGTTTTTTGGGGTTTTTGTGCAGTACGCGGGCCTCTCACTGTTGTGGCCTCTCCCGCTGCGGAGCACAGGCTCTGGATACGCAGATTCAGCGGCCATGGCTCATGGGCCTAGCTGCTGCGCAGCATGTGGGATCTTCCTGGACCGGGGCACGAACCTGTGTCCCCTGCATTGGCAGGCAGACTCTCAACCACTGCGCCAGCAGGGAAGCCCAGCAGTCAATTATTTTTAAGGGAACACTATCAACCCATTGTCTTTCTTAATTTCCATCATTTTTAATTTACAGAGAGAGTTCTAAATAATAGGCATCATAGTTATAAGAAGCATGAAAAAGTCTTCAGGGCAGAGGGGAAATTATTGAAATAACCAATATTGAGGGGAAGTGCTGCAGGATAAAGGAAGGCTTCATTATGTTTCCAGGTGTGATAGCTTGGGGCAGTGGGCAGATCATGTGGAATGGGAAAAACTAACTGCCCAACTCTGAGACCTCTGAGGAACAGACAACCTCTGAGGTCCCCCGCTCCAGCCCCACACTCCATAATTGTCTCTAGATGCACAGG